TGGGGCGGGGCAGCACCCAAGGTTTAAGGGTTTAGGATTTAGGGCTTAAGGGTTTAAGGGTTTAGGTTTAGGGTTTAGGGTTGGGAGCCTGAGCACTTGGAACGGTTTGGTGGTATTATGACCATAGTTCTCATACCCTAACCCCTAAACCTTAAAATCCTAAACCCTCAGCCCGAAGCCCAAAGGAATAGGTTTAGTCACTACTTAAGGCTGTATAGTAGGACCAGTAGGGTTTTGCCTGAAGCCCTGGGTTTAGGGTTTAGGGTTTAGGGTTTAGGGTTTAGGGTGTAGACACGTCATAGAAGCCGAAGCCTTTTTAGCTGTATGAGACCTTTGCAGAGCTACTACAAGACAAGTCCCCAAACTCCAACTCCTAAGCCCCTAAACTCTAATTTGCGTTGAAGCCGACATGTTGTAGAAACCTTAAAAGAAGCCTCATGAAACTGAAACTCGAAAGCCCTTTACAACTTTTATGAAAACTAAACCTTAAACCCTAAACCCTAAGCCTATAAGACACTGTAGAAGCCCTACAAGAAGGACCCCCTGATCGAGCCATAAGGCGACCCCCTCCTTTAGGGTTTTGGGGTTTGGGGTTTAGGGTTTGGGGTTTGGGGTTTAAGGTTCTCCCAGATCTTAAGATTGACTTCAAAGCCCTCGGGGACCCGGGTAGCAAGGTTGAGGGGTCTTGAGGGAGTAGAGTTACGGGCTTGGGACCTGGGGATTAACGGGTTTTAGTTTAGGGTGTAGGGCTGAAAGGTTTAGGATTTATTCCACGGTGCTCGGGACACATGACATGCTCAGTTATCCGCGGAGATTTTGGCTTCTCTTACCAGTTGGAGCAGCAGCATATTTTGAGTGCTAATGCACAGCCTAGCCTACCCCTGCCTGCAAGCTAAACCTATCCCCTCCCTGAACCCGAAACCATAAACCCTAAGCCCTAAACCCTAAACCCTTAACATCATGCTCCAAGTAGAGCAATGCGCTGGGACCGGGAGTTTCAGAGCAAGGCATGTCTCCCAGATGCATGCGGCTACACAAGCTAGCCGCGCAGTGAATCCTAGAGATCCGGGACTGAATACTTTTGTCCCCCGTTTAGGGTTTAGGGTTTAGGGTTTGGGGTTTAGGGTTTAGGGTTTAGGGTTCAGGGTTTAGGGTTTACGGTTTGGGGTTTAGGGTTTAGGGTTTGGGGTTTAGGGTCAGCTGAGCTTTGTGCTAGAGTCGCAGTCCGCCATGCGAAGCTGCTTGACATGGCGGCGTTCAAGCTCTACTCCACCGTTGCTGACCACAAGCGCCCTGAACGACTTGAACCGTGGCGTTGCGGCGCAGGATTTGTATGCACAAGCAGTCGATCAGAGGGAGGCATACAGAAAGTGGAAGGAAGGTGCAGAGTACACGCCGGTTTCCGAGTGCAGGCCACTGATGACAGGAGAGATACAGATCTTGAACAGTTGGTACCGGATGTCTGCTCGGTACATACGAGCACACCAGCAAATGAAAAAGACATACCAACGTAGGCATGCCGTGCTGAGCGTGCTTCTATCAGGATCTGCGCTTGCCTGTTCCACCATCATTTCCTCCAAAGTTATCGCTGCATCCTTCGCAGTGGCAGCCGCCATCGTTGCATGCGTGGCCAATGCTGTGGCAAACTTTGCGCAGTTGCCCAGACTTGCTTTCACGCACCAGGAGGCGGTCACGAAGTGGCACGGAATTTGGGAAGAGATCCAGTCCTTGTTTGCCTGGGATCAGGTCCCCGATGCTGGTGCCAAGCTGGCAGAAGTTGGACGATGTTTCGGGGAGGCCATGACCTCCAATCCGCAGCTGCCCCTCTATGTCGAAAGTGCACATGTCGAGGGTGAGGTTCAGGAGCTGTATCCTAGTGACTGCAAGTGTCCACGGAAAGACGTGCCATCAAAGGATAGCATTCCGAGCAAGTCAGACTCTAGGTACCGACTTAGGACAGTGTTTAGTTTCCTTCGTTGTTTTTACCTAAAGCCTTAACTATACAGAACTTCTTGGCAGCTGATATCGACTCCTAGGACTTCTCCAGCCTTTTGCAGATGCAGCTGCTGGTCGAGTGCATTCGCTCGAAGGCGACGCGTCGTTCGGTGTTGTATCAGTGCCTAGGTGGCACCTTGGGATGCTGTCCCTTGTGGTCGAACAGAGGTACCTGCTCATCAGTATGCATATCTACTTATATATGTATATACATATAAATAATATGTATGTGCAGGTATAGGTAAATGGTAATAGCAACATTATTCTGCCGGGGGCTTTACGCTACAACGCAGGTATGCTGATTTCATGTTGGGCATTCTGAACGCTGTGCTCTTGGTGCTCAGTGCGCTGGGCTCGGTGGCTTTGGCCTTAGACGTCGCTCACCCTTGGATCGGGGTAGCTGTGAAGTGCGTGTCCGGAGGCGTAAGCGTCCTGGCCGCGTTTCAAAACACACTTCAGCCCAGTCAGAGAGCTCAGAAGTATGCGTCCGCTGCCAAACAAGCGGCTGTGCTCTGTATGACCAGCCAGCAGCTGTTACTTGCGTGTCCGCACCAGGATGCTGCTGCAATGAAAGTTTCCCTGCAAAAGGACATGACCGTCCTCATTGGGACAATGCGGGCTGAAGGCGTGCAACACCCAGACCCAGACAATGGTGTTGGTCAAGATCCTGGCAGTGACATAGCCAGTAGCATGACACATGAGATCAGTCGAAGAAGTGTGGGTGCGGCTTCTAGCCGCAGCCACTAGCTAGCCGCTAGCCAGCGGAGCTTGGCGCGCCGCAGCAGCGTATTTCCGCTACAAGAAAAGGTCTAAGCCCAGTCATCGTAGCCGACTTATGCAATTGAGGCGCTCCACAATAGGTCCGCAAGGAGATGGTGATTGAGGTTCTGAGAAAGCTTGTTGAAGCAGAAGTTCCAAGGTTTTAAGTATGGGCCCCTAATATGGGCCCTGAGGGGGGTTCTAGGGTCCCTTCAGAGTACGTATAGGGTATATAGTAGGTATATAAGGCTCCCAGGTTTAAGGGCCCATACTAGGGGCCCATGGTTTCAACCTTAGAGAAGTTGGTTGGCACACCGCCACGGCCCTGCCGGATTGCTGTTCGGCTTTGGTGCTGCTTTAGCCCCAAGGCCCGATTCCCCAAATCGCTGAACAAGCTCTCGCCGAAACCGAGGGCTCCAAACCCAAATTCAGCCTTATATTCATGCATCGTGGGAACCCCGAAGTCATTGAGCTAAACCCAAAACCCTTAAGCCCCTAAACCCCTAGACCCTAAACCCAGAACCCGTAAGCCCCTAAGCCCCTAAACCCCTAAACCCTTAAGCCCCAAAACCCCTAAACCCCTAAACCCCCCAAGCCCTAACCCTCAGCCCCAAAACCTGCAACCCTCAATCAACGGCTTCCGGAATCACCAAGGGACTCCAGACCCCTATGACTCCGCAAGGGTTTAGGGTTTAGGGTGTAGGGTTTGGGGGTTTAGGGTTTAGGGGTTTAGGGTTTAGGGATTTAGGGATTTAGGGTTTAGGGGTTTAGGGTTTAGGGTTTAGAAGCATCGAGGGTGTTTTCTTTACAGCTTTGTATTGGTTTTGGCAGGCTTTAGAGGCCCTTGTCAGGGTTTTTGTGGAGAGCTATTGGGTTCGAGAGTTTTGGTTTGAAGCTTTTATCGGGGCTTTTAATAATATAGGGGTCGGAACATTTAATCACAGTATCCCGGTACAGTCCTCACCCAAAACCGTGCCAACCCTCAATAAGGCAGCCAAGAAATCCTACGTGCCAGTTCCTACACTGCGAACCCCTTAGCCGTCTCAACCCACACATGCTAAACCTGAACATTTCTTGAACCTCATTACATTCAGTCCTGAAACCCTAATCATTATCCTAAACCCTAAACCTTACACCCTAAACCCTAAACTCTGAAACCCTAAATCCCCAAGCCTAGCACCCGAAACCTTATACTGGCAGACCCTGCGGATCCCAGGCGTGGTCTATTTGGAGCTCCAGTTCAAGGAGCTCTGCCCTATACCATGGCTACCCTCTAAACTCTGAGCCCGAAACCCTAAGCCCTAGACCCCCTAAACCTGAACCCTAAACCCTAAACCCTAAACCCTAAACCCTAAACCCTAAACCCTAAACCCTAATCCCTAACCCCTACGCCCTAAACCCTAAACCATAGACCGTAAACCCCAGGCCGTAACCCTAAACCCTAAAAGGCACCCAAACTTTGAGACTATAAAACAGGTAAGCCCCAACCCCTAAGGTCCTGCGCTCCGCAACTCCAAACCGTAAAGCTTTAGGGTTTAGGGTTTAGGGTTTAGAGTTTAGGGTTTAGGGTTTACGGTTTAGAGTTTAGGGTTTAGGATTTAGGGTGTACGGTTTAGAGGTTTGGGTTTAGGGTTTAGGGTTTAGGGTTTAGGGTTTAGGGTTTAGGGGTTAAGCCACCAGCCGGCTTGGGCCTTTCATGAACCCCTCAAAAACCCCATGGTTTTCCAGGACTGTAAGGCTTTCACGAAGCCCTAAGTTTAGGGTTCAGGGTTTGGGGTGTAGGGAGTCTCAGAATCCTGAATGGTTAAGGGCTTATAGGGTTTAGGGTTTAGGGTTTAGGGTTTAGGGTTTAGGGTTTAGGGTTTAGGGTTTAAGGGCTTAGGGTCTAAAACCTAAACCCTAAAGCCCTGAACTTTCTGGGTTTGTGTATCCGCCGCACTTTTCCAACGCCCAGGTCGAGCTCCCTGAACTCCAGACCCGAAGCCCTAACTTTCGATTCGTTGAGCTCAAGTTCAAGGGTTTAGGCTTTAGGGTTCCCTTAAAGGGTTTGTAAGGTTTGGTTTAGGGTTTAGGGTTTAGGTTTAGCGTTTAGGGTTTAGGGTTGATAGGGTTCGGTTTAGGGTTTAGGGTTGATATAGGGTTTGGTTCAGGGTTTAGAGTTAGGGGTTTCCTCAAAGGTTTGATAGGGTTTGGTTTGGGGTTTAGGGTTTCCTTAAAGGGTTGCTGTTTGCTTTAGGTTTTAGGGTTTGGGGCTTACGATGAGGGCTGACCGAGGAAAGTGGAAAGTGAACAAGCTTACACAAAGACAAGAAGGCCGCGTGGCCGTCTGCTACTAGTCCGCCGCCGCCACGAGGATTTCCGTCGTCGTTGTCGTCCCCACCACCATCTTCAAATTTATCTCTACGAGATTCATGTTCATCTTCCCATCATCATCGCCATCGCAACCAACATCACCATTATCACCCCAAGCCTGTAACTCGTCCTATTCATCGTGCCGGCGACCAGGATTCCTTACTTTCCTGTCTGACCAACACTTCGCCCTGGCACAGCCAGCTGGCGACGGAGGCGATGAAGGGGTGGAGTGTGGGATTGTTCTGCTGCTTCACGGCGTGATGGTCAAATGTCATTATTATTTCGATGAGTGTCACTGTGATTTTGCCTATGTCTGTCTCAGTCACTGTCGGTGTGGTGAGTTGTCAGCATTCCCAGGCGAATTGCTACTGTATGTCTGTTCACGCCGTGAACTTTGTAGCTGCAGCTATTTCGCTGCTGCCATGGCATGGTTTCATAGTGTGTCTTTCGTCATTTGCTAAGATGCCGGTAGTCCGAACGATTACTACTAGTAGTCTCCGAATCGCTGCTTCCATCCATGTCGAGCGATATGGTAGTGCGGTTGCTGGCTGTGCCCGCTCTGACGTATTAGTGGTATTGATTTCATCCTACCAGAGTTATTCGTCAATGTTTTTGACAGTGTGGGGTTTTCGAATTAAGATTCTGGAGTTGAAGAAGTAAGGTGTTTGGTTGGAATAGTCTTGAGACCTCACAAGCATGTACGCATGCATGTATGCATCTATGAACGGTTGTATTTTTGTGTGCATGTACATATGTACGTATGCGGGCATGTATACGTATGTACTTAAATCCGTATGTACATATGTGTGCGTATGTACGCATGTACTTATGTTCGTACTTGTCTATGGACCATGTGCTTGCGAATGTCTGTATGTACTCATGCATGTATGCATGCATGCACGCAGGCATGTATGTATGCATGGATGGGTGGATTTCTATTTATCTGATTGTTGGTTGGTGCATGGGCTCATCTCGCGTGCAGTGGTACGGAGTTAAGTCATGTAGAGGTCCGATTTTCTGTTTGCTTCTGAGCATTCCCTGCCAGGCTCCGAGGGCATTATTACGGTTTAGGGTTTAGGGGT